GGGGGGGGGGAGACTAACCACTGCGTCCACCTTGTCTTCGATGGCTTGCTTCGCCCGGGCAATGCTATCCTGAGATCCAATCAGGGCGATCTCCCTCTCCACCTCGCCGGGACCCGATGACTGAGCCACGTTGATCTTGCAGCCGGTCGTCGACTGCATCTCACGAATCGTCTCGCCTCCCTTGCCGATGATCATGCCCACGGCGTCCGATGGGACGTACATGGTGTCGTTGATCTTGTCGTATCCTCCACCTCCGTTCGGCATACCACCCTCTCTCCGGGGCGGCATGTCACCTCGGCCACCTGGTGGCCCGCCTCCGGGAGGACCACGAGAGGGGGCCGGGCCCTCTCCGCGGCTGTCGCTCTCAACAATCTCCATGATGAAATCTTTGGCCTTGGCGGCAGCCTCATGGGTGCCGATCAGGTTGACAGGTCGCAGCCCGTTGACGCTCTTCGACTCGCCGACAATGTTGATGTGGCACCCGGACCGCTCCTGCAGGTCGCGGATGGTCTCGCCGCCACGGCCGATGATGAGGCCGACGGTACGGTCGGGGACCATGATCTGGGTGTGGTCCTCGCCCTCACGCAGGGCGGTGGCGCCGCCCTTGACGGGGTCGCGGGGCTTCTCGTGGGCGCGGTTCAGGGGGCCCATGCCGCTGTCGTCAATGATGGCGTTGATGGCGTCTTTGACCTCGGCGCGACGGTGGCGGGGCCCCGAGATCTTGCACTGGCGCAGGGGGCCGCCATCGCTTGGGGGGAGGAACTGCACGCGGCAGGTGGACTCGCTCTCGATCCTGCGGAGGTTCTCGCCCTGTCGGCCGATGATGAGGCCGACGAGGCTCGATTCGATCTGGATGACCTCGGACTGGTCATCTCCTCCTCCGCGAAGGGGGGATCGCTCGCGACCGTTGGAGCGGGGCGAGAAGGGCTTCCCACGGGGGGGTCCGGGGGAGTAGGAGCGTTCGCGACCGTGGTCGCGGCCACGGCGCTCGTCCCTGTATGGGTTGGCGGCGTGGTGGTGATCACCGCGCGGCGGCGAACGCGAACGTGAGCGGGATTGGGGGTAGGCGTGGTCCTGTGCCCGAGGGTCGGAGCCGTAGACCAGGGGCCTGTCGTAGGGAGTGACACCCTTCTCCGCAGCCGAGGCGCGGACCTTGGAGAGGGCGTCGTTGAAGCTCAGGGTACCCGAGTTGACCGGACGGATGGCGCTCAGGTCCAGGCTACCGCTGGCGGCGGGCGCAGGCAGGCCAGGGGCGGCAGCGCCATAGCCAGGAGGGCCCGGCGGAGGGGCAGCCTGGTACGGGACGGTAGGCTGAGCTGAAGCCGACTGGGACGGCGGCGGGTATAGCGGGTTGGAGATACCGGGGGGCGTCTGGGAAGGGCTGGGTGCGGGTCGTTGGGCAGCTAGAGGGAAAGCGCATGTTAGCATATCACCGTGGGCGAGAAGGGGAGCAGAGGAAGGCCTGTATACGCAAGGGAGAGATGGACTCACCAAGGGCAGCCAAGAGGTTCTGGATATTAGTAGTGTCGGTCATTGTGACGATGGAAGCCAGAACTGTGCAGGGGCGTTTGGGGCCCAGACAGCCGGCAACAGGCGCGTTTGAGTTTTTTTTTTCTTGCTTTTCTTTTCTCGCTGCGGTGTTGTGGGTTCGCGACGTGGAACAACAGCGCAGGTCGTTGACAGGAGCGTCTTCTAAATTGTATCGCGAAAGAGACGTCGACAGAAGACGACGCGGTTGCGATGCTAATAAAAAGACGATGCGTGATGGTGAGAGAAGCTCGGCAGGCCGCGACAGTCGAGGGAGAGCAGGAAACAGGAGTTGGTGGTTACTGGTAATACCCGGTAGATGGTACTGGTGGTAGAAAGCCAAGGGGGAGGAATAAAAAGAAATGGGGCCGAATCGAATTCCGGGTCGCTTCGACGAAAAATGCAAGTCAGCAACGCGACAAGGGACGCACAGAATGCGCAGGATGATTTGATGTAGGAGGGAAGAAGAAGAGAGGAAGGGAGGGAAGATAGAAGAAGGAGCGCTTATGGTGATTTTTGGGTTTTAATTTTTTTTTCTTTAGTTTTTTCAGTTCGCACCGAGTTGCTCATAACCAAATTTTTTGAAAAAATGGAAAAATGGAAAAAAAAATCGCCCTGTCTGGTGCTGGACCGCACTGGCTCCTTACTGGTAGCCGCTGTCGCTGCCGTCTTTGCAACGTAGTGGGAGGAGGGGGGGGG